GAGAGAGAGAGAGAGAGAGAGAGAGAGAGAGAGGAATCAAGAAAGACATTTAAGGAAGTACGAACTAGGAGGTAGACATGCCCTGAAAGTGAATCTCTAGATACCTTTGTCCCATCTCCTCTTCTACCACCTTTAATGACCAACCCTGTCAAGAAACCGAAAAGATCTGATTTCCTCTCATTAACATCAATAAACCCAGGAATCTATCAACCTCAGCAAACTTCTTAATCCTACAGTTCATTGTAGATTGGTCACACACACACAAACTCATATAACCGACTAGAGTGGTCCACTTGACTTTTGATAAGAAGTCAGCCAACTTCCCACTTCTGAACTTTAATAGAGGTAAAATCTACCTCAAAGTGTACATAGCATACATGATATACCTCTCCTATAGCTCCAAAGGGAGCCATAGACGAGACATGGAGACAATTCCAGCCGCAACAATCCAAGTTACCTTAGTTCTCTCCGGGTGCCTAAGGCTCTTCTTTATACACCCAGCTCATAATCACACTTGTCCAGGTTTTTAAATGTAAGTGAAGCCCTTGGACCTTAGGCTTAGACTTCTCAAAGATTTTAGACCCTTGTCCAGGTTTTTAAATGTAAGTGAAGGCCTTGGACCGTAGGCTTAGACTTCTCAAAGATTTTAGACAGCTCTGGCTACAAGGAAGTCATTGAAATATAACTCCACCTTAGAGGCCAGGTTTCTAAAATAAGACAACAAGAAGCAGAACATATCAAGGGAGAGTGAACAACAAAGGAGAACAAAGTTCTCATTTGCATTTATAAAATGCAAAGTTCATTCTTGTACATGCAATTAAAAGAAGATCCCATCATCGAAGCACCCATCAGGTGCACCAAATCCTTCATTAATCACAAACTAAAATTCTGAATATCCATGTATTAATTTTCACGTTGATTAGAAGTAGATCCAATCATCTAAAGAACTAATCAATTTAATTAGTCATACATTCTGTCTCAACCTTTAGCTTTCCCAGAGTTTATACAGACTAGAAGTTCACTTGCAGTCCTATATGACTTCCAGTATTCCAATCAATAAGCCAAAAAAGAAAATTCTCAAAGTTGGTTCCTCTATGGTTTAAGGGTCTCAAATAAACTAGCAAAACACATACGAATGTTTTTTGAAAAAAATTGGCATCAAAGTGGATAGTTCCATCATGCAAGTTCTTCAGTCCAATATTGTACTTGACGGTGCAAGAGTTTTCAACTTAAGAGAGGCCTAGAAACTCCTTTGGGCATTTTTCAAGTTCCAATATATTCTCCAAGCTTCATAGCGCCATTGTTTATCTCTAGTACTCTTTCTCATATGGGTCTTGCAGCTGGAGGAACTTCCAACTTGGACTTGCCATGCCTCAAAGAATTTAAGTTCCATTATATTCTCCAGAGTGTCTTTTGATTTTCAAGTTTTAAATTCTCTATCTAGTGATTAGAAGTGGATTACTCTAACAGTCTGCCTATACCTTTGACATATATGAGGAAATAAGACAAATTATCATAGACTTCAGAAAATTTTCTCAGATAAGAACAAATACATCATAGGCTCTAATGTTTATCCCTTATTCCTAAAATAATGATGACTCAATCTCAAAATATGCCGGAAAAATAATTCCTAAAAATAACGAACAGAAATAATCCCTTATTTGAGGAGAAAGAGATTGAATTGCAAACTGACCTTTCCCAACAATGAGGCCCAACTGATTCCATGTTAGGTTATGAAATGGTTCCACACGTGTGAAATTCAGTATAAGTGCAACAGGGAGAAATAGCAAGAGGTTGAAAAGCCCCAGAAACCCAAGAAATTGAGCCATGCTAGCCTGACCCTCTCCTTTGTTCTCATCTGGAAGTTTCTTACGTATCAGGGTAATATACACTGCATATAAACCAGCTGAAACAAGAGCAAGTATGTCACCAAGAACTGGATTCGTGGCAATTGAGTTCTCTCCTGTTTCCGAATCACCAAAGCTCACAATTACAGTCCCCGCCATGCAAAGAAGAACACTAAATAGCTTAACCCATGTGAATTTCTCACCCAAGAAAGCCAAAGCAACCAAGAAAGTGAAAAGGCTCGATACGCTGCTTAAGATGGTATTTGACTGCATACCAATCAAGAAACAGAGAAAAACCCAAAACCCAATCAATGAAATATAAAAAAAAATCCGAAAGCAATAACTATCTCATGATACTATCTCATGATACTCTCTCATGATTTCACCACTAAAACTAGCTTGAGACATTCTTGAAATGCAAACCACTGAATAAGCAAAGAAAACCCAATAATAAAACAAAAACCTAATTCAGAAACAATAACTCTGTCATGAAGTAAATGGAAAAACATGCTCATAATGATAATTGGGGGAAAACCAATGAATAAACAGAGAAAACCCAAACACTGAAAAATAGAAATAATTCTAAGAAACAAATCTCCTTATACTAAGAGAGTAGTAGACCACAAGATTAACCACATAAAAGGAAAGAAAAAAATAACATAGGTTCAAATGTTAAAAGAAAGTGATAGAGAATAGTTATAAAACTTACAGTGACAGTGGTATACTTTAGAGAGAGGTTGAAAGTGAGTTGAGCCAAGAACCAGAAAGGGCACACCCATAAACTAGCCATAGCTACTTTCCTCCTTGTCCATCTTCCCTTAGAATCCAAACCCTTAGCTAAAGTTCCATCGCCCACATTAGCCCCAATATCCGCTGAATTTATTGGCGTCTCAGCTAACAATTCAGTCTCTTGTAGTTCACTCTCAGGTAAAAGGGAACTCTCATCCTCAGACTGAATTACACTGCTATTTTCATTAGTTTGAGACCCACTCAAACTACCAACAATTTTCTTTGATTTTCCATCACCCAAAAGATTGATTGTCTCTGAATCCCCTGAGCCATTCTGATCTCTTCCTTTACTGGTTTGATTCCATAAACTCCCAATTGAATCCTCCCAATAACGAGCAATTTCGATTATTGGAATATACACTATGAACAATGAATTGCATATATAAGTGATGAGAAATGGGGAAACACCCGAATCCACAACAGCTTGCACAATGAAACTAGCAGCTATCCATATGATAGCCACCGCAACTATGAAAACCAACCCTAAAACCGATCTGCAAACTTGACTCTTCATATTTTTCCAACCCCAATTTTAGAGCCAACAAATTAACTCGAAAAACGCTATACAGATTACCCGAAATACATTCAGCCAAATAATCGATTTTCTCTCTGGTCTAACACAATCTCCACAATCTAATCAATATCACATAAAAGCCCCAAACAAAGGGAAAAAATCTCAATTATTTGAACAAGAAACTATGAGTTCTGAGCAATTAAAATTAATTTCTAAAGGTACACAGACAAATCGAAATTTTCAATAATCAACCATTAAAGAATCCATAGAACACCAGCTCGCTAGATACACCCAAGAATTCAAGAAAACCATAAAAACGATAATGTACCAGGATTTTATCAGAGAGGATCTCTATGCCTTTTCCATGAGGCCTGGACCACTTATTTGATGAAGCTTTAAGAGCTAACCCCTAATCAATGATTCTCTGTCTCTGGGTGTTAGTCAAGCTTCGCTTGAATCCGTACTACGGTGCATTACTACAAATTTTCTCCAAATTTCAGCCTATCATTGTACCGCATTTTAACCTGGCAGTGGTACCAAGCAAATCTCCGTTATAAACACGAGTTTTTCAAAAAAAATCTTCCCATTTTTTGAAATACGTTTAGAACTCCAATTTTTTTAAAAGATCTTCAAAAAAAATCACAACTTTTTAACGGAACTGATTTAAATCCGTATTTTATCTTTTTTTTCAAAAAAAACCCCTTCTCTATAACTTTATTTCTTCATTGACTTAAAGATAAATACATCAACAGTGAGAGTAAATTAAAATTCTTTATTTAACCAAAAATTCCATAAAAAATGTCACCAATGAGTTATCTTAAAAACAATAAACAAAAAATACAAACAATATATTCTTCGAAATAAATTAATTAAACAAAACAATCGTATATCTTAAAATAATTGGCCAAATTAGAAGAACAACAACCTAATGAAAAATCTATTTTTTTCTTTAAATCCATAGCGTCTTTGTAAAGAACAAGAGAGAGATTCAATGATACTAAAGATTTAGGTAGCTATTCAATGCGAGATTCAAATTTTTTTGAGCATGTTGTTTGTTTTATGCATAAAAATGTTTGATTTGTATTTTATTTTTTATTTTTGTATTTTATTGGTGTATACAACATAGTATTTTGTATGGACCATTATTTTACATATTTGGGTCTTTGCGGGTTTTTTTAATTAGCTACAGTCCTATATTGAGGACTTTTTCTTCTTCGTTTTTAAAGAAATAATCTTATACCTTTGTTCACAGTTCTCGTTATTTACTAATTAGTTCTTACGTTTAGTACTGTTGTTGTTGTTTCATTTTGTGCTCACAATAGATCGGCGATATGTTTTGTTATGTAACAACAAAGTAAGCATTGTTGCAGGATTTATTTAAAGTTTCAACAAAAAATTGCTAAGAATTATTCTGATGACACTTGTAAAGCTATAAAACTATTGTTTAGTGGCTTTAGTATATCTATACAATAGCGGTAAATCATAATCCTATATTTTATTATCTTTACATATCTGATTTTTTCACTATATTTTTTTAACCAAATCTGAAATATTCATGATTCTCTAGCTTGCCCTTTTTTTGGAGATTTGTACTTTATACCCGATTTTTTCTTCCGACTTTTTAAAATAAAATTGATTTGTTGCTGATGTTTTGTTCTGCCGATATTTTATTATCCTCCGACTTGCTAGCTATGGTACCAACTGGGTCAACTACAGTGATGGGTGGCAAATGTGTCGAGTCAAGCCGGACCAGGACCCGGACTCAACTGGATTTGGACCTGGACTGGATTGGACCAGACCCAAAATTAAAAAATATATATTTTTTAAATGTTATATTTAATATATACATATAGTAGAAAAAAGTTTATATAAGTGCCAATCTCTAAACAATCAAATTAGGGCGCACATCAAAAATTTCATCAGAAGAGATTGTTTTGATGCCCAAATATCGTCAAATTGATCACTTCGACCTCAAGATGCATGGACATGAGAAAATAATAAATCTCAAGTTTTGGAAATAATGCATTTTTTTATAGTCGATTTTAAAAAATGTTAAGCTTTTATGGATATGCTTGATCTATACTATTTTTGAAGCTTTAAATTTATAATTAGATATGAAAATATATTTTAAGGCTATCACAAAGATTTTTAGGATTAAAACCGTATTTTTTAACAATATTTGAAGGTGTATTTTACTGTGATTGTTTAGAGCCTCGATCTTATACAAATCACACCCAGTATTTAAAGGGTGTATTTTTTATAAAGTTGAGGCTCTAAATAATCAAAATGGGGCGCACGTTTAAATGGTGCCGAAATATGTTGTTTTAATATTATAAATATTTATGATGAATTGAAATTTTATTTTTATCTCTAACAATAAAATTTAAAGATAAAAAACAGTGTAAATCGTATAGATCTATGAACACTTGAAAATCTTGAAAATTGACGGCCTAGATAATACATTACAAGATGCACTATTTTTAATACTTGAAATTTTTTTTTCCTCATGTCTATACATCTTGAGATTGAAATGATCGAATTGAGGGTTTTTCAACATCAAAACAACTTTTTTTTAATAAATTTTTGAGGTGCATCTTAATTTGAATGTTTAGAGCCTCACACTTGCATAATTTTTTTTTTTTTTAAAGGATAATGTTAGGTGCTCACACTATAGAACATTTTATAATTGTAAATTTTGGACACTTGTATACCATTGTTTTGTATGCAGAACCGAGGCTCTAAACCATCAAATTCGAGCCCACATTCAAATAGTGTCAAGAAATGTGGTTTCAATACTGAAAATATTTGTGATAGCCTTAAAATATATTTTCATCTTTAATTATAAATTTTAAAAGTTAAAAAATAGTGTAGATTGAGCAAATCTATGAAAACTTAACAATCTTGAAAATTGACGGTCCACAAATGAGACACTTGTGCACAAATCTCAATTTCTTGCTAAACAATGATAAAACTAGCGGTTAGCAATGTTTCTAAGGAAAGGCATTCTATAATATGAGACGGTTTATTTTGGGTGCGGTTTTCACTTAAACAATCCAATTAAAGATCACTTCCAAATTTTATCATAACATAGCAATTTTGTGTAAAAAATTCTTAGGATTATCTTAAAATCTATTTTTAATATCTAATTATAAAATTTTAAACT